AGAATACTGAAATTAGAAATTTTGTTGTAAATCTAAATGAACTCCATTAAGATATGGTGCGAAGCATGAATTCTGCCTCAAATTGACAAAGCGAGCAGAAAGCCTAGCCTTGTGCATTGTTCAAATAGGCTTCAGCATTGTAGAGCTTTTGTACGTTTACAGGCCTAAAGTGCTTGTGCTTCCTAGGAAGTTTTTACATTTATATGCCATAGAACCAAAAATTTAACTCACTAAAGAACAAATGAGCTGAAGACTTTACTGATGACTGCTTAGTTTCTATAACTTGTTCTTCACTTGCCCTACTTAAGAGAAGCACGATTGCTTAATTTTCCCTCACAGTGAGTTACATTAACACAGTTTTATTCTTTGGGTGAGTGAGAGCCTCATGCTGGTGAGTTCACCGTTCTAAAGTGATCCTACACTAGTCCTTGCTTCACTAGGGGCCCAGGCTGGCAAGCTTTTGTGAATGAAGGATTGTGTGACCAAGTGCACTTTAATTTATATCAGTGCAAACTTTTGGGTGTGTTCTTTTGTGAAGTTGTTTGGTGAAGTTTCTTTTCAAGGAGCTTCCGAAGGAAAAGCATTTTGTCATTTTCCATTTTGGTCTTTGTGTTATAAATCATCTTTTGACTGGTTTCTCCTTTGTGATTCCTGTCTGAAATTTTACTCCTATCATATACTTTAAGAATCATCTCAAAATGGTTTTCTTTATCCTCTGGAAATTCAATTCTTTATATCCCTCAGGGTCAGTAACACTGTTAACCTATTAACAGCCATCCTCAGACAAGAATCGGTAAACAGTTTGAGCTATTCCAACTTGACAGTGTACAGACTGATTTTATTTTATATATATTTTTAAAACAGCTAGCAGAAGTCTGGAAAAAATAATGAATTAGTAGAAATGGTTTTCACTTAGCTCTTCTATAATTTATGAGTGATTAGATAAAATAATCTATCAGTGGTATTTTATTTATTTGGAAACCTGAGACAGTTTGATGGATGTTTAATTTCTAAAATTAGGAACTGAGACTCCATAATCGTATGTTTTGGGTTCAGTGAATTATTAAAATGGAATTCAATAAAAAAATTTCTTTTCTTCCAATAGCCTAATTTTTCATTCAAAGCATCCATTTTTTTCTCTTGTCTGTTCTCATTTTAAATTCTGGTTTCCAGAAGAATAAGAAAGAAAATGTGCAATTCCTTCTGTTCCTAGAACTTTAAATATGAGTATTTCTATGTCAGTCTTTTTTTTTCTTTTCTTCTTTGTGTGCTTGAAACATTATTAAACATTTTCAGCTAATGGGTTGTACTTGCAGAAAGAAATGCAGTTGTTTAACATTTTTAAGTTTTTAAAGTAAAAAAAAGTCCTTTCAAAATCAGATCCGTATTTGGTATTTCTAAGTGAGGAAATCCCTCATGATTCTGGCACCTGTGCAAGAGGTGGAAGCCACATAATACTGTTTTTAATAGATTTTGTCAGTACTTTGTCCTACTTTTTATTTTTCCCCTCCTGGAATCACAAGGATAGACAAAATGACATTTTTTAAGTAATAGCGTGTCAGAGTTCTGGCCCAGTTCATCCCAGTTCTGTGACTAATGGAGCAGAGGGACCCACGGACCCATGCCCTGGGAGAGGGAGGAAAGGGGGAAAAGGAGAGGGAAAAGGAAGGGAGATGGGCCTAAAAACAAAGCAGCAACAACAAGTTAAGGGAGAAAATTAATTTACTAAATATGAGAGCGGAATGCAAGATAACACAATATGATACAATATAATTGGAATTGAAGCTAATAAATCAAATAAATGAGAGGGAGTGTCCAGAACTGAAGACATTACTCTAATGCTGAAGGTAAGATGACTAAGGAGCACACACCTCAGAGAAAAGCAGAAAAAGAAGGGGCAGTCTTGTGTCTCCCAAGCAGTTTCACCTTTCCCTCTAAATGGAAAAAAGAAACGGAACAGTGAAGTGTTTTGAGAGATGTGGGTCTTCTTCACTTTCATGAAAGGTACTGTGGAATTATTGATAATCCATGGAACTGGAGCTTTAACTACTTAACTCCCAGTGCTCTACATGATTTAATGATGTGGAATACTTATAACAAAGATCATAAAACCGTGAGATTGCTTAAGTCTATATTGGTTTTCTGTATTTTTTTTCTTTCCACCTTCATCTCTTAAGAAAGAGGAATGAAAATCCAGCTCTGTCCTAAATTTTCCATTTGATAAATCTGTGATGCTTCTTGCTGTGGTAGTCTGAACTTCTGTGGAGCAGTAGTTGCATTTCATTAGCCTTTTATGTCTACAAGTCCTACCAGAATAGTCCCCACATGCAACTGATGAGTTCACATGACAGGAGGAAGTTTAATAGAAAGTATGCCTATCAAAATTATGAGGTAGATACATAGGCATGGAAATGGTGCAGACACGTCTCCTACTCCTGCTTAGTTGATATGTAATGCCTGCTTTACATGTCTTGTTGACCATCAGCAGGACACAGCACATATGGACAGGCAGGCTACAGCAGTACGTGCCCTCCATCTGACATTTCAACACAGCCACAGTGTGAGAGGAGTGGTTGCTTGGTACAGAAGCAATTGCTGGCCATCAAAAATAAGGATATACACTGACATGTGGGAAGTGCAAATTTCATACAGAGCAGTCATATATCCAATACAGCCCCTTAAAAAAGCTTTTCAGAAACTAATTTATTTCTCAGAGAAAAAGAAGAAATAAATAAATAAAAAAGCAAAGCAAAACAGCTTTATTCATGATAGAATAACTTCTTCTTAACCTAAAATTAAAACAGGAGTGTTAGGCTTTTAACTTTGTTTTTTAATACGATTAACTACCCTGCTGCGATTTTCTTCTATAGTTGAAATTCTTAGCTGTATAATTTCTTATTCATTGAATGGTTTCTTCATTCCTAGTATTTTTTGCTTATTGAATTTCTACTATTAAATGTATTATATACTTGATCAGTCTAAACTCTTTTTGCTTCAGCCTTGCTTGGTGCTCAGAGTGAATGTTCTCCCTTCCTTACCCGTTTAATGGTGCTTAAGGTGTAGCAAGTCTTTTGCTAATAGCTCTAAGGGTCTTCACACAAACCTGGTAACACTATGCCAGTTGTTTATCTTTCATATGTAAATAGCTAAGCTGATAGTCACGGAAATAGTTTTTAATGATAAATTTAAAAGCACAAGGAGAGGTAGATTTCATGAAACTTGTAGTGCAGCTTAATCGAGTTTTTGTTTCTTTTTCACTGTTTTCACTTTTAGAATGTTGTGTCCTAGGGTTCTGTGAATGCTTCTATTACATTTATTTTCTAGAGAGAGTTGCAGGATAGCAAAAATCACTCCATTAAGATCTCAGATGATGTAGTACCAGGATCTCTTTTTGTCAATATATCTGTAAAATAAAATGCTAGGCGAAATATTAACACTGGAAGTGTTAAGCTGGAAGTACTCTATGAAAGTAATTTTTGTTGTAAAGAGGAATTCAGTGATTAACATGAATCTCTGAACTTTCAAATGGGCTCAAAATTCAAAACTATATGGCTTCCCCAGTGTTAATTTGAGAATCCCTATTTTAAAGTGCAACATATGCCCGTAAGCATTACATAACTAACACTCTACATTTGCAGTGCTGGTGCAAGTGTAGGCTGTCTTTTTAATTGCAAGCCTTCTTAGTCAGTTTCAAAAATGAATTGTTGGTGTGAGAGTGGACTGCGGCATGAAAGTTAAATGACTCTTCCATAGCTATATCATGCAAGAAGAGTGCTGAACAATGGTTAATTATTCATTTAGTATTTGATTTCAGAAGGTGTTATCTTTTAAATGAATAACATATGTGACAGATACATCTAAATCAAGTAATTTATTGTATAATATAAACTGAGTAAATAGTCTACTGTCAGTTAGTGAAACTTTGTGAAGAAGCAGTCTGTTTTTATTTCTTCTGGGTGTTTTACTACTATTACATACATTTTCATAAAACTCATCTACTGAATTCTAATTAGTAAAATCAGTGAAATAACTCAAATGTCAAAGAAACTTGGTACCCTTTCTCTCTAAATTCACATCAGCCTTCATTGCCTTTTAATTTTCATATCAATATTACTTAAATCAAAACATGCCATTCTGCCTATGGTTTGTTATGCAGTGCTGAATTTTACTATAATTTCTGAATACAAGGTAAGGGACATTTGATGTTTGAATTCAGAATAATGAATTCTACCAACATTATTAGAAATACAGGTTGTTTTTTTTTTTACCTTCTGATCTATCTGCTTAGAATGGCATTAACTCAAAACAGCCATCGACAACTCAAGATTGTACCATAATTCGTTTTCAAAAATGAAGTGTCAGAAGTTGTGAGTAACAGCTTATATTTGAGTTATTTGTGACAGTGAGAGAAGATAAACTAGAGTAATTATCAATAGAACCAGGTCGAAAAGTTGTATACATTTCAACAGAGGTAAAAGCCCATTCACCAGATAGCTAGAAAGTGAAGGAATAGAAAGAAAAAAAAAATAAAAAGAGAAAATAATGAAAGAAAATAGACAGGATTAAGCTGAAGGATGGTTTTTGTAGATGGAACAAAAGTAGCTGAGAAGAGATCATAAACCCAGCACATATTTTCAGCACCAGTACTCTAGGACATTATAGCATTTGCTGGTGTATATAACAAAATGATTTGTGGTTCTTCACCTGCAAACATAACATCCTAGGAAACGCTTTAGTATCTCAGTAAAATTGCCCACATTAATATTTTAGGTAACTGAATATAATTCAGTAATCTGTCAGTGAGAAATGCAGCTTTCATTAAAACAAGAAAGTGAAATATTGCAAACTCGTTTCTTTGTGCTGCTGATACTGCTGACTGAATTTGTTCTTGTTTTTGTTTTTAACTTAGAGCAATTATCTTGCTATGGGATGGGACAATGTCCCAGTAGATATTTTCTGGTGTGTTCTAATCTATTTATTCTTTTGCTTTTTAATCATAGGTTTCTGTGCTCGAGAGGCAAATATTTGACTTCCTTGGTTATCAGTGGGCACCCATCTTGGCAAATTTCATACACATTATTGTAGTCATACTTGGCTTATTTGGAACCATCCAGTATAGACCTCGTTACATAACAGGAGTGAGTATTTCATTTTATATATATATTTTAATCTGCATATTTAATAAAAAAGTTCCAAACTGTACTGCTTATAGAAGAAATAGAACTCATTTTGATTTCACCTACTTCTGTAATATTTTACATTCACTCATTACACTTCTGGATCACCTGAGTAATTAAATGGTAACAACCTGCCACAGTTAAAAATAAAGTAACAGGAAAATATGAACATTGCAGAAGTGAATAAATTTTCTACATTCACCTGACCTATGCAGTAGATCCATCACTTCTTATAGTATTTCATTATTGTTCTTTACCAGGATTGGGGGAATGCCTACATGTTATGTGTAGAAATAGTCCAAATTAGGAAATGAAGTATGAGAGTATGGTAAGAAACGTGGTTATGACAGTTGCAGACTGAGGGCTCTGGATAAAAATAAGGATTTGGATCTTTAGTTTTTTATCCATTTCTTTTCCTTATTTGACTGTTCACTACTCACATGTGTTATTGTTGTACTCACTAGTACAATACAGCTTTAATGAAATCTTCATGTTATATTTCAGATTTATTTTTTTTCCCCCAGATACGTAGGGCTCTAAAGACAGAGCAACAGATTTCAAAACCATTGTTTAGAACACCTTTTGTTGGAAATAAATGTGTATAATATTTATATCCAATTTATCTACTAATTCAGTTAACGCTTGCAATACTTCTCATAGATAGACAACAGTCCAAAAGATTTGCTGTTGTACAACCATATTTTCAATGTATGAATGTATAAATAAGTTAACTACACTGAATCTGTACCTACTTCTGCAAAGTCTATGTTCTGTCATAGTGTTCCTTTATATAACAATAATCACTCGGGATGTAGAAAAATTTTTTTTTTCTTCTACCCCTGTTCTACCATCCATTTTCTAATAGTGCTATGTAGTAGTAATACATTGATATATGCATCTATATTTCTATTTATCTTATTTGCTATATGTAGAAATTGTGTGATGTATTTATTATACTCATGTAAATTACTGTAATCAAAACATTTGTTGCAAAAACTAAGAAATATATTGCAAGTCTGAAACATTTTGAATAATTTCTTCAATTGACAACCTTGGGAGCAATGTAAATGTGAACTGGAATATTCTTTAATTTCTAGTACTTTGACTAGTCCAAAAATCTTGAGAATAAAAAATAAAAACAAAACAACAAAATTTCAAGCAAATGCCAGTTAAAAACAATAAAAAAAACTCTGTCCTCTGGCATAAGAAATCAAGCAAAGGAGGCAGGAAACAAGCATAGTTGAGCGAGGACCTAATGATCAAACTCAGAGATGAGAAGGAAATGTACAAGCAGTGAAAGCAGGGGTGGGTGGTTTGGGAAAAATATAGGGATGTTGCCTGGATGTGCAGGGATTGGATCAGGAAAACCAAGGCACCAACAAAACAGAATTTGGCAAGAGATGATTAAAAAACAAGGATTTATTTAAATACATTGATCAAAAAAGACAAGCCAAGGAGAATGTACATCCCTGTTGGTCTCCAAACTTGACGGATGAGAAGTTGAACATAAACCAGGAGTGTGCTCTTGCAGCACAGAAGACCAACAATATCCTGGGCTGCATCAAAAGAAAGGCGGCCAGCAGGGTGAGGGAGGTGATTGTTCCCTCTGCTGTGCCCTTGTGGGGCCTCATCTGGAGCAATTTATCTAGGCCCAATGTATCAGGAGCCCAAAATGAAAAAACGCGGAGCTGTTGGATCAGGTTCAGAGTAGGGCCACATAGATAATCAAAAGGCTGGAGCATCTCTTGTATGAAGAAAGGTTGAAGGAATTGGTCTTGTTTTACTTGCAGAAGTGAAGGATCTGGGGAGACCTAGGTACAGCTTTCCTATACTTGAAGAGAGCTTCTAAGCGGGAGTCTAAGACTTCTAAGGGCAGACATGAGTGAACAGAAATATATTTTCTAAAGATAATAAGTAAACCTTTTTTCCTTGTGTAAATGGTAATGATGAAAGAACTGCTCAGCAGCAGTTCTGAAGCTTTACAAATAGAGATTTCAGGAGAAACAAAAAATGACCACTAGAATGAGACTTAAATGTGCTTTTAGCATCACTGACAGAAGATTGTGCAAGACAAATGCATAAGGGGTAATACCAATGCAAGTTACTAAGGATTCTGAAAACAAGCTGTGCTTTTCACCAGGGTAGAGCTCTGTTTGGAGGCTGTTTTTGCCAGTTCCTTCTCTACAGGGATTCCATCCTTGTTAGTAGGCTCAGCACATATTCCTCACTCTGCTATGGTGTTACAGAAATGCTAAGTCTGAAACAGTGTTTGAGCACCTGTTGGGAAGGCAGGACCAACCCAGGGAAGCTCAGGTGCATGCAACTTGGTACTTTCCATCCCATGAAGGCATTAGATAAGGGTTATAAGAAGAATAAGGGAATGACACTGAATGCACATATGTGTTCTGATTCCTGCCTGAATGAGAAATCTCATTCTACTATTTTCTTAATTTTTCTGTAAGGCATTCTCAGAATTTACAAAGACAAGAAGCCTCATTTACACTCAGTGTCACTGTCTTCTCTAAATGTAGGAATTGACCTGACATGTGAAGCCCAGTACTTTGTAGTACTTCAGTGCTGCAGGGGTATCACTGTAAAAATAAGTACTTTGTTTCTCCACTGCCATTTGTAGAAGATAAGGAAATATTTAATGGAGCTTGGCAGTGACATAAACAGATAAACTTGGAAATAAATTATGAAATGTAAGAATTTGAAGACAGTGATGTCTGAGAGATAGGTATCTACCATTTCTACTGCTCCTTTGTATATTTAGAAGCTGTTATTTTTACTTCTTCTAGAATTAGTTTGAAGAAAGTGAGAATATTTTTTGTACAGTTCTGTAGGTTTTATTGAGTAACCTTGTAGAAAAGCAAGAGCACTGAGAAAGTGAAAAAGCATCTGCATTGAAGAATGAACAAATTTTCCTGCCTTGAGCATAAAGTGAGGATGCAACAGAGCAAGCTTTTAATCTAGATGGAACTGCCTTGTTTCCAAATTGATAGTAGGAGATTGTATAAAGTGCTTTCTCATAACAAAGTGGTTTATTGTAAAGTTAAAGTGGACTTTGGTTGTGTATGTAGCAAGATTATAGAGAGGACAACAACATTACTAACATTTTCCCACGGAATAATGTATTCTATTTTAACATTTCTTTCTCTTAGACATAATAGTAAAAAAAACCCCGAACCATAAGAATAGTGAATGTCATAAAGACTCTCATAAGGACTCTCTTCCACAGAATACTAGGAGAAGACTATAAGGATCTCAGTTTGACACGGTTGTGAACTTTAAGAACGAAAATAATTTATTACAAGACAGTACTTGGCCATGTTAAGTCTGGGGGGAAAAAAAGGATGGATTATTCATTACTTAACACATGATTGCTGATATATATTAAAAAAGAGGCAATTACTTTTTCTGAGACTTCTTGCAGCAGCTTCAGTCTGTAAAACTGATAAGCCCCAAAGAGTATAACCAAGCTAATTTATGTCTTTTTAAAGACTGGTCATAGCCAATGACTTCAACACCCTTAGTGGAATCTACTTAATGACAAGTATCCCTAAATCTATCAGACGTGTTTATAGTTTTTTGACTTGTATATTGCAGATTAGTATCTTCTATATTTTTAAATGTTTTAAAATTTTTAAAAGCAGTACATGTCAGTGTGTAGCAGTTAATCTCTTAAAAGTACATGTCAGAATACTCTCAAACAACATCAACCATGTTACAGAATAGTATAAAGCAAGAAACAGCAGGAAAGCTGCAATTCTGGAGCCATGTTCTCTCAGTTGCTTTTTTGAAATTTGGGGATGGGCGTAGTATAGTTAATTATTGGCTAGATTTTTTGGTGAAATAACATCTCAGGATGCAGAATGTTGTAAGAGAATCAGATTTTTTTCTTCTCATTTTTCTCAATGAAAAAGTTACTTACCATAATTTAAAAAAGAGAGTCTTGTGCTTCATACTCGTAACAACACAAATCTGAAATTAATTTACCTTATTGACTTTATCCAGTTCTTCTTCAAGATACTTGTTTTCTTCTTTTATTTAAAATTAAAAAAATAATGTAGTAATTTTACATATCGATCCATTCCTTGGTAGAAGAAAACGGACACAAAAGAGTGTACAAAATACTTTGCCCAGCTTTTTCTGAGCCTGTGATGATTTGTGGGCGCAAGTAATGATCTTCTGCACAACCATTTTGTGCTAATGCTCAATAATAGTATATTAAGCTAAGGAAATGAAGGCCTTGAGCATTTTAGTACCAACTTTATCTGTTGGCTGTCACAGGAGACTGTGAATCAGAATAGTTATTCTGTGTCAAAATGTGCCATTGACAAGGTGTTTTGTTTGCTAACATGTCAATCAAGGATATACAATGATATTCTTCAGTTTGTTCCTTGATTCTATAGCTTTCCATGGATAATAACTAATGTAAGTGTTTGTTGTTATTTTTCAGTAGTTGTCTATGCACTTTCAGTGTGTTCCGTTACTGAATACAATATTGTCAGTATTCAGAATAGCTTTCTGATAATTTGGGTTCTGAATTAAGTATGACAGAATGACAGAATTGATGTTTTGTTTGTGAAGTTCATGCATACAAAGAAGTTCTTACACTTAGGGGAAAAAAATAATTTGTAGTATTCGTCCAGTACTCTCAATTTCAAATCACCCCATAATTATATTTTAAATGAAGATCAGAAAGATTCAGAAGACACCAATTATACCAGAACAAGCATTCAGAAAGTGGTCATTATGGAAAGGTCTGTCTGCACCTTGAATAGAACAAATACTATGTCAGGTCAAACTCCACTGAGTAATTGTTTCATTGCTTAGTCAATGCATTCATTCAGGGATTGTTCATTAAAAACTGTTCACACAGAAAGATCAGTTGAGAGTAAATCAAACGAGTCTGTTAAAAAAAAAAAAATTCTCTCTGAATCATTAAATTATAGCAACTT